AGGTTTCATCTTTATCCAATACATGAAAATACTTAGCCTAACATATTGTTATGTAAATTACACAAAAAGATATAGAAAAAGATCACCCCGGAATGAAAAACAATGAATTGAAAGTGGAAAATCAATTTCTTCTTCTTAAATCTTCAACCCGGCCTTGAATCTTCAATCTCTTGTATTAATTGTCTTTGAATCTTGTGCTAGCCTCCTCCTTGTTGTGAAAAATATGAATTTTATTTGTTCTCTATAGTTCACGCGGTTCACCCCTCCAAGAGAATATGTTAAATTTGGTTTTTATAAGAATTTGGATAAAACAAGGAATTTGGGCCGTTCAAACTCAGAAATAGCCTGCGCGCACATCGTTCATAGGTTTTGGGCTCGTTAAATAAACCTCATGCCCGTGTGCACGCGGCGTTATAGAATTTTCCATTTGTTACACTTTGATCCCCGAATTCTCATTCCCTGGTTATTTTGGTTCTTCCTTCCTATTTTCTCCATCCTCCATCTTCCAACTACATCTAATTTGCTCCAACATCCCTCCAATCCTCGATAGTAGGTCCGAATCATCTATTAGCATTTTTCAATTTAGTCCCCAAATCTTGGATTATATCCACTTTAGCCAATTTTCTACTCTCTTTTTTCAATTTCATTATTTTTCATTGAGATGCACCTAACAAACAAAATATATACGGAATTAAGCCACATATCATTTAAAATAACAATACTTGCTCTAGTTTAATGGTACAGTTAAGTGAATAAAATACATTTATCATCACATATAGTCATATCTAAGAAAGATCTGATCACACAATCACATTTAAGAAATACCTAGTCACATAAAAAAAAATTAAAATAAACCTAGTCACAAACGGTCAGTAGACTCAATCATAAATAATAACATCTTATACAGATCTGATCACAAACAATAACAAAATTTATACGTCCATCGCCATTGCTATTTTTGAATTGTTATCATAATCTGTACAAATAATTCGTTTTTCCTCAATGTCCTCATCACCGACACCACCTTCTTCCTAAACGACCATTTTCGATGGAGTTCGTTCATTTTCAATAACAGAAATGGAGACAGAAGAAAGGCGTGGATCAACTTTGATGTAATTAACGTAATCGTTGAGGAGATCTGTCGCCATTGATTTCTGGAGACTTCGTTTTGGAGACAGGGTATGAAAATCAACAAACTAATGGCATTGAGAAAAACAACATGATAATTGAAGAGATAAGCACACAGTTTGAACAACCACTCACCGAAGATTCCCAGAGCGATGGAATATGCGTTAATGGCTAAAAACCCAATGCACAGACCACCGAAACTTGGAGAGAATTTTTTGGAATGAATTGAATCTTGCAATTTTTATTGCCTTTTCAAATTTCCCATTGTTAAATACTTCAGATTTCATATTGAGAATTCGATTATTTTTTTCGAAATGACCGAGAGAATTTCAGATAGAGGTGCGTATGGTGGACTAGGGCGGTATGGTGGATGAAGACATTTGTGTTAGAGAGATTCTTGTGGAATTTGGGTTCCTAAATTTCATAACAATATCTTATAAATATATGTAATATATTATTATAATTTATCACCTGATTTTAGAAAAGTTTTTATAAGTTTGTTAAATATAAAATTATATATTTAAAGTATTGGAGTTATGTATTTTTCCCTTTTACCTTTTATATATAATTTAATGGCCATTCAAANCTAAAAAACAACCCTTCATTTTCCGACAACTTTCGGCCCCCAAAATCACCGGATATTGATACTCGTGGAAAGCCCTTAACGCCCTCTTCAATGACATCCCAACATCCACCCATAACAACCACGGATTTGGAAGAAATTAATTCCCAAAAATCGTTGCCTGAAAATCGCAAATCTGATGGAATCTTACAATTCGACATGCCCATGCTAAGACGACCCTACACCGACTGTTTGCCCATGCCCAAACGACCCTAGCCCTGGCCACAATTTATCTCAAACATCCCTCCAACTGAACAAATTTATCCCAGAATACTTCCCACTCGTGATTGTCGAATAGCTGGGTCTGAAAAATAGAGATTCCAAATTCGTCCGGCCAACCCATGGTCGCGGACCACCTAGGCAACCTTCCTCTTCCTCTGGGGCACCCAGCCCACCCGTGGGTCAAGCTCAATTACAACCAAAACTCAATGAATTTATCGGTGAAGTTTGGAGGTATTGTGCTAAAAATTTGGTACTCAGTGGTGGTGGTGGTAGTGGGAGGAGGAGGTGGTAGTGGTGCCCGGCAGTGTGCCGGTTGTGGCTGACACCATTGATGCTGTGAAGGAGAAACTGATTGTTTGTACATTTATTTATTTATTTATTTAAATTTATTTATGAGAAAATTGTCAAGTTACCATTTTACCCTTCATATTTTTGTCAAAATTGGTCAAAATATAATATTCATGGTCAACTAATGGTCAACTGGACAGAAACCGCCCATTTGGACCTCCGATGCATATTTTTGAAACGTTTGGTACCTCCGATAGCACAAAACAAAGGTCTGGGCAAAGTCTGCAAAAATTGAAAAGGTTTGGTATCGTGACTGTAATTTTCCCTTAAATAAAGGATATTGTTCCTGAAAATGGACAAAAATGTACAGTTTGAAGATCACCAATAATAAAGTATAGGATATAAGAAAATCCCAATCCATGTCGGGAAAGGGACCAAAATGTTCAGATTGAAACGATACTCAATACATGGGTTTAATACAAAGATTCCCTCAATGTAGGCTCCAACACTGCAATAGGCTGAGCAATCAGGCAGCTCATTTTCTGGCGCGACATGCATGGACTCTTGAAGATATGATACTTTAGTGGCACAGTGTTCCTTTTTTCATTGAAAATGTAATTTTCATTGATAGACACTATTGTACCCTTTTTTTAAGGTTTTTTGCTTTTATGAATGAAATATTTTTTTTTCCCATTAAAAAAAAAAAAAAACGATCCTCAATAATTAAAAAAAGGATATTGGTCTAACATAAAAATCCCAGTCCCACATGAATTATAACAAAAACTATTAAAGCAAGATGTATGATACACTTAAAAAATTATAGAAGTCTCTACAGTAACTCAACTAAACCCTTGTTTAAAATAGATTAAAATCAAATTAAAATTTTAACTGCATGTTTATGAAATCAAATGCACGCATTATACAGATAAATGAATATACGCATCTGAGGGCCAATGAAAACGTCATCAATAAAGAAATGTGAGAGGAGAGTTGTGTATATTTTATCGCAAATGTACGATATCAAAACAAGTAATATAATGGACCTATGAGTCCGAACGATTGTTCCCACGAAAATATTATTTATTTTCTAATTTACTATTTCTACATCCTAATTGATTAATCAAGAAAAACAAGGAATTAATTAATTGAATTAAAAATAAATAATAATAGGTTTCATCTTTATCCAATACATGAAAATACTTAGCCTAACATATTGTTATGTAAATTACACAAAAAGATATAGAAAAAGATCACCCCGGAATGGAAAATAATGAATTAAAAGTGGAAAATCAATTTCTTCTTCTTAAATCTTCAACTCTGCCTTGAATCTTTAATCTCTTGTATTAATTGTCTTTGAATCTTGTCCCAGCCTCCTCCTTGTGGTGAAAAATATGAATTTTATTTGTTCTCTATAGTTCACGCCGTTCACCCCTCCAAGAGAATATGTTAAATTTGGTTTTTATAAGAATTTGGATAAAACAAGGAATTTGGGCCATTCAGACCCAGAAATAGCCTGCGCACACGCCGTTCATAGGTTTTGGGCTCGTTAAATAAACCTCATGCCCGTGTGCACGCGACGTTATAGAATTTTCCATTTGTTACACTTTGGTCCCCGAATTCTCATTCCCTGGTTATTTTGGTTCTTTCTTCCTATTTTCTTGATCCTCCATCTTCCAACTACATCTAATTTGCTCCAACATCCCTCCAATCATTGATAGTAGGTTCGAATCATCTATTAGCATTTTGCGATTTAGTCCCCAAATCTTGGATTATATCTACTTTAGCCAATTTTCTGCTCCCTTTTTTCAATTTCATTGTTTTTCATCGAGATGCACCTAACAAACAAAATATATATGAAATTAAGCTACATATCATTTAAAATAACAATACTTGCTCTAGTTTAATGGTACAGTTAAATGAATAAAATACACTTATCATCACATATAGTCATATCTAAGAAAGATCTGATCACAGACAATCACATTTAAGAAATACCTAGTCACATACAATTGAAATTAAAATAAACCTAGTCACAAACGGTCAGCAGACTCAATCATAAATAATAACAGCTTATACAGATCTGATCACAAACAATAACAAAATTTATACGTCCATCGCCATTGCTATTTTTGAATTGTTATCATAATCTGTACAAAGAATTCGTTTTTCCTCAATGTCCTCATCACCGACACCACCTTCTTCCTAAACGACCATTTTCGATGGAGTTAGTTCATTTTCAATAGCAGAAATGGAGACAGAAGAAAGGCGTGGATCAACTTTGATGTAATTAACGTAATCGTTGAGAAGATCTGTCGCCATTGATTTCTGGAGACTTCGTTTTGGAGACAGGGTATGAAAATCAACAAACTATTGGCATTGAGAAAAACAACATGATAATTGAAGAGATAAGCACACAGTTTGAACAACCACTCACCGAAGATTCCCAGAGCCATGGAATATGCGTTAATGGCTAAAAACCCAATGCACAGACCACCGAAACTTGGAGAGAATTTTTTGGAATGAATTGAATCTTGCAATTTTTATTGCCTTTTCAAATTTCCCATTGTTAAATACTTCAGATTTCATATTGAGAATTCGATTATTTTTTTCGAAATGACCGAGAGAATTTCAGATAGAGGTGCGTATGGTGGACTAGGGCGGTATGGTGGATGAAGACATTTGTGTTAGAGAGATTCTTGTGGAATTTGGGTTCCTAAATTTCATAACAATATCTTATAAATATATGTAATATATTATTATAATTTATCACCTGATTTTAGAAAAGTTTTTATAAGTTTGTTAAATATAAAATTATATATTTAAAGTATTGGAGTTATGTATTTTTCCCTTTTACCTTTTATATATAATTTAATGGCCATTCAAAGTGTAACACGGGAGATAAGTTTCCCCATCCTAATTTCTCAAATATGTGAATAATAGACTTTTAAAAATATTATTGACCGCATTCAATATATGAAGGTACACCCTGTTTGATACACATTATTTTTTTCATTCTCATTTTTAACCACACATTTTTTAATAAAATAATATTTTCCATCACATCAATAACTTTTCCTTCATTTTTAACCACACATTTTCCATCAACCTACTATTCAATAATACATTCTTTCAAAAGAATGTGTTCCAAACACACTCTAAACATAATTATATGAGAGAGAGAGAGAGAGGGGGTACAGTAGTTCATTTGTAGATTCAAGGGCCTCAATCTACAAAATAAATAAATAATAATATGCAACAGCCGTGGAATAGTTCTTGCAATTCATGAAAATGGATCAACAAAGATTTCAAAGTCACTTTTATGGGTAAATTCTATTTGCAATAGCTCTACGATTCAATTCCATTATCAAGTATTATTTTGATGGGATTTTAGTGAGGTTCGAAAGTAAGAGGAAGAGATACTCGAAGACATTTTGGAAGCTATCCCAAATTCGATTAGCTTGAATTTCTTTGAAAATTGGATACAAGTCATTGAATACAAACTCAAACAACAAAAAGAGCAATAGTTATGTCCTAAAATTTATTCAACATTTACTGCAAATACTACACGAACAACGTGCAAACCATCGAACCATTTTATAGCCCCATAATTGTAGCCCTTGGAAGCCTCTTTACCATCAAAGAAGATTTTAAAAGCTGCTGTCTTCAGTCCACCTCTGAAATTAAGCCTATAGGGAAAAACCATAACTTTCAAACCAGGTGAAGCTTCTACAGTACTTGTATAAGTCGCATTTGATGAACCCACATTTGTAACAACTCGTTTGATCTTTCTTATTCCCTCATTTTTCTTCAGACTGGCTATAGATATAGTAGGATAGTTAATGTTGGAAATGAATTTTTCAGCTGAGGCTTTTGGGCAGCTAAAATTTGTGTTTGTTATTGATCTTAATGTTTTTTGTTTATAGCCGAAATAACAAAGAAAATACAGATAATCTTGGACTGTACTTTCGAATACTAAGCCTGGATCAAGAGCTCTGATAGGATGTATTTCTCCAACGCCAGCTTCATGAGGATTTGCATAATTATCACTGCTATTTGTCAAAGGTTTTCCCAAGTTATTAGATACAGATGCTGCAAAAAAGAAGAAAATAATTTTAAAATACATCAAAAAATTAGTTGTACTAAATCTAAAATGACAAATGAAATTACTTTTCTTGGTGAATAACAAACTTTCAAGCTTTTGTCGACATACATCTATTTAATGTGGTTCTTGGTGGATTTTCTTAAAGAGAGAACAATTTTGATTAATGACTTTTTCCTCCTTGAAACCCTAATTTTCTGAAATCAAAGTCTTCTTGTTCCTCTTGTGATTTTTCAATCTTGTTTTGTACGAAGTCATTCAAGGGAGGCTCGTAATATCATCGAAGCAACTTGAGAAACCCGAAAGAAATATCAAGTCGAGATACGTTTTATAAGTCTACATTTTCAATTTTCTTCCATCTTAATAATACTGTTTGTGTATATGTTAATGATACCTGTTGTCATCAATGCTGATTTGATTATTGAGGAACTCCAGTGAGGATGCTTCGATTTGATGAATGCAACAGCACCAGTAACATGAGGGCAGGCCATTGAAGTTCCAGATCTTATGCTGAACAAAGAAGTCTTATTCCCAGGTGGACTATAATCTGGTATTATCTTTGGCACGATGGCTGCCAAAATGGCTACTCCAGGAGCCATAATATCAGGCTGTAATTTCCAACTTAATTTATGTCAACAAAGCTCTATTCTAATTTCAGATTTAAAAAGGTAGAATAGTGAGAATTCAACATTGGTGTTGCATGCTAGCAGCAGTATTTCAATTAATTGTATTAATCAACACAACCTTAAGGATATTTTCTGTAAGACCTCCGGGACCTCTTGAAGAGAAAGGTGCAACAACAGGAGCTGGCTTGAACCTTGGAACTACTTTTGTTGGAAGTATAGTTGCAGTAGGTTTCCTATATATGTGATAAATAATAATGAGAAAGAAAATTAGTATCATAGTGGAATGTTAATTTAAATAACCAATGTATAAGGTGTATGATGAGTGAAGTAACTAATCTTACTTAGTTGAGTTGATATAATTGAGAATTCGGGAGCCTGTACTTTCCCCAATTACTGCAGATGGATAGGTGCCCGAATCAAATGGTAAAAGTTGTCCTTCTATGTCTATCATAATCAAACCTTTAGCTTTAGCATCTTCCACCACTAATTTCTTTATTCTCTTCGAGACATTCGGATCTTCGTCCACACAGACTATTATTTTGTCTGCTGCTTTCTTTGGATCTATTGATCCCGGGATACAATTCCTACAAATACACTTAATTTGAAGATAGGAAAAGGACAGACATATAAATATGAAGATTTCAAATAATACACAGGAAGGATGGATAAACAACCTGGCATCAGATGCTGGAGTGAAACTAGAGGCGACTTTTTTGCCAAATGCAAGAGGGTATGCTTTCCCATGAGTAAGAGGAGAAAAATTGATTGCAGTCCCCTACATGATTATATCTATAATTACAAATGAATATGAATCGTGTTTGTGTCTTAGTAAATATCTTACCTCGTAGGATTGATTGTTTCCTAGCACTATAGTTGTCTGAAAATTACGATCAATAGTCGATGCTGAAACAGTAAATATCCATGGAGCTGTATTAACAATGGTATAAGGATCGGGTCCATCATTTCCAGCTGAACAAACTACCATGATTCCCCTTTGTTCTGCATGGAAGGCTCCAATGGCAATAGGATCACTTAGAAAATCCGATTGCAAAATCGAACTTATACCTATAGAAATGGAAATAATATCAACTCCATCTTTGATGGCATCATCAATGGCTTTTAAGATAACTGAACCAGGACATCCATCAGTTGAGCATGCCTGGTAACTTGCTATTCTAGCAGAAGGCAATCCACCTCGGGCTGTACCACTTGCTAGCCCATAGTAACTGGCATTATCGACAGGTACTCCGGCTGCTGTTGAAGCGACGTGTGTTCCATGGCCGATGTTATCTCTTGGCGAGCCCTTCCCATTTTTGTTATAGAATCTGGCTCCTATCAACTTCCTAAAATGTACCGAGATTAATCTCTTATGAATATTCCAATATTATATATAGTGCACACGGCTTAATTTCTAGCTATGAGCTTGTGATATTAGCACTCCACAATATTAATAAAGAAATGAAAATACTAATATATTATTAGGCTGTAGTGTTTAGTCATATCGAGTAGTATGTAATCCATGCCAAACACGCTCATATTGTTCAAAGGGGGTATAAAGAAAATGAAAAGCAAATAATAAAATGTTCATTTCTATTTTACATTTTTTAATTATTGCAAAGTAGGGTTCTTAAAGTGGGACAAGAGAGTACCTATTACAATTGAATTTCTTAAAATTTGAACCTTCCATGCAAACTCCTTTCCACTTTGATGGAATGTTGCCAATACCTTCATCACTAAAACTTGGTGACTCGGGCCATATACCTAAAACAATTACTCATATATATCAAACATAAATATCAAATTGGAAAGAAATTGGTTTATTATAAATTGGGTAAATTTACTTGTGGATAGAAAATAAACTACGAAAAAGGATTGTTTCATAAATTTCCATAAAGCAGAATAAACTTGTATGAAGAGGTTGTGAAAATAGTCTGCTTCAGTGACCTGTGTCTATAACTCCAATTATAATATCAGACGATTTGTGCTCGTCCCAAGGGTGGATTGATCTGAATTTATCGTCTACGGCTTCCAGAAAGTCCCAAGAACGCGTCGTATGGAGTTTCAGGACCGGATCAGGAAATATAGACACAACCTCGTCATAACCTGCTTTGGAAGAATAGAACATTCATATGTATTTTGGATTGCTTTCCACTTATTCTATTCATTTCACTTTCAACAACGAAAACTTTTGAATTTATTACGACAAAACATTTGGTCGTTAGAAGTGAAATTTGTTGTAGTAATTACTTTTACAAATATTATTCTGTCATATGGGTATTGTGGCACAGAAAATACAGATGGAAGAGCATATTTTATACCAGATAATCTCGATGCTTCATTCTCTGTAAGTATGGTAGAAAAGCCCTTGAAAGCATGATTGTAAGAGTGCAATAAAGATATTCGTTCACTCTCTTCACTGTCCCAAAAGGAATACGTATATGTTAAGCTTGAAATTTCAATTTCAACGATGAAATTTTATCTTAAAATGTCGTTGTTAATTGTTTCGCCAAAAAATAAAAATACAAATACAAATTCAAGACAGGAGTTTTAGTTATAATTAAGCATATAGGAATCGTCACCTTGGAATTAAAGATGATAACAATTGCAAATGAGACAAGTCTTCTCCTCTATTGCCATTTGAGGAACTCCCCAAATACACAATGTATGGCTGTTGAGAACAAAACTTTAGCATATAAAACAATTATGATATGCAAATTTCCTTACCATATATAAAAATACAGATGAAATTTAGGGTAACCAATAAAATTCACTCCAAAATGTTCGTGCGTATGATATTATTTTAAATAAACTCTTGCTTGCCTTGAGGTTGGATTTGAATGCCGTGCAATAGATGAAAATGAAGGGTAAATATAGAATCGGGAAGAATTGCAGCATGGAAGCCATAGGGTATGATTTGTGTATGCATGCAAAGAGACATATTATATACCCTACAGTTTTCTTCAACTCTATTTTATATATTGTTAAAAAAATATTCAGAAATGGATTGAATGCTTTATTCCTTACATACTAATACTATACTATTCTCATGATTGAATAGCATATATTCCTCTAAGAAAAGCAAAATATGAGGATGAATTAATAGTAGTATTTAATTGGATGAGCATCTTCACTTTTAATTCATTTGTCGTTTATTTTTATATTTTTTGGATTGTATTGAAGACAATTTCGTTTAATTACTTTGTGTTCAATTCAACCAGTGAATATTTAGTCCGCTAAGCACGTCAACGCCCGTACGGGAGAGGATTGCCAATGGATGGAGGTGGCTGCATCTAAGAGTTTAGTTCCACGAGATTGAACAATACTCCATGTTATAGAATCAACTAGTTTTTGAGTGTTGTTTTTCATATTCAGCAGCATATATCAGGATGAAGTTAAATATTTTTTTCTAGAAAAAAATAAACATATTCAAAGCTAGGTTCTATTTTCTTTCTTGACTAGCTTTTTGGTGTAGTGTTTCTTACACTGTAGGTTATATGATTTTGAGAATCTCTGGCAATCTATCTTTATTCTTTTGTTTCTTTAGGCCCTTTTTCTTCTTAGACTTTAGTGAGGAATTGTAGATACATTGCGTGTTCCACTGGCGATTACAAGCTTTAAATCACGTTCCTCAAACTTTGTTATACATTTCTTTTCTTCTGTCTTTGCTCCTATTTTCTTTACCTTTTCCATTCAAAAAAAAAAAAATGATAACTCCAAATCTCGCACAAAAATGTGAAAAATATAGGCCAGCTAATATTTCATTTGAACACGAGAGAATTCAATTTGATTTCAAATTATACCACTTTTCATATGATGTTTTCAAAATAGATGAAAATCACTTAATCATGTGTACAACAACACATCATTCACGTAATCACTTTTCATATGATGTTTTCAAAATAGATGAAAATCACTTAATCATGTGTACAACAACACATCATTCACGTAATCACTGAGTGACATGTTAACTTACCACTACGTCACATCATAAGTGTAAAGGTAATAAAATGCACATTTTAACACTGCAAAAAAATTGGCTCCAACAACCATAAGGATGGCAAAAAAACTTCAACCCAATACCCGTGGGGCCCCGCCCCATTCAGGGCGGGGATTACCCACCTAACCAGGTAAACAGGGCGAGTACAGGAAACATAGTTCCTGTCCTGCTACCCACCTTGTTTAAAGTTGATTTCAAATTTAAGTTTTTTATCAAACAAAAATAATAGATTCATCATCATTTTTAAATAGAACATAAGTTGTTTTTAATAAACTAGTAAAAAAGTAATAATATTTACTAACTAATGACATAAAAAATAAAAACGAAAAAATGAAATAAAGAAAAAATAAATGGGGCACGAGCCCCGCCCCGCCTCGATCCTGCCACATCCCGCTTTAACCAAGTATAGAGATGGGGTAAGCTAATAAAAATACCCGACGGGATAGGGGTGAAAATGAACGACCCGTCCCATACAAAATTTGGTCAGTAAAGCTTAAAATTTGGTCACTAAAGACTTGTACAATCAATATATGTGGTTGTTGCTTGGTCCCTAATTCACCGTCGGTAAAAGTGTTTAGCGACCAAATAGACCATGGTCACTATATATACCATTTTTAGTGATGGTACCAAACCGTGGTCGTTAAAGGGCTTGATTTGGCGCCTAATATGAGAGTAAAAAATTGGTTGATTCACACCCTATTGCAACCAACCTTTGGTCGGTAAAAGCACGAGTATAAAATAATTCAATAATTTCAGTATCCAATAATTGGTCCTAGAAGATACACCATCAATGACCAAATATATCATACAAAAACATTATAACATTCAGACGTATTGCCAATCTCACGGTATTAATTGAAATTTTTACATGGTTCTATTGCATTCACTTGTCTACAGACATTAAATTTTAAATTTACCACGTTCATGTTTTAACAAGTAGTTCACACTTTAAAAAAGGAACAAGAATGTTCAGGTAGGGTTGGCAATGTTCGAGCCAGCTAGAGCTAGTGTCAAGCTGAGACCGAGCAGCTCATTAACCATCGCTTAATTTGGCTCGAAGGCTCGTGGGCCTATGGGTCGACTCAAGCTAGTCCACGGACTACCCAAGTTGCACCAGAGGTCCCCCATCTATATTCTTAGGTCAACAAGCTCGAAAAATCAACACACGCATATTTATGGGTAGAATGCTTCACAATAATCTATATATGATGACATCATTAGTGTATACTCTTCAGTAATATAGGTTAAACGCTTAGCCATTGGCGATCTTGTTATGCCGTATGAAAGGGCAGTACACTCGGAGTGTGACATTCTCCTCCATAAAATTCCCTAACACCC